GCTGGTTTCCCTTCTTCTTCAGATTCTGCAACCTTAGAAGACTCAACTTCTGAGTTTGATGCCTCAACACCAGAACCCCTATTCTCATGCGTCCCTGAATCACCAACTACACCACCAACATCTGAATGTTGCGCATCTCCCTCAGCATGACCACAAGCAGCAGTTTCCTTTCTCTCTCCCCCTCCACCTCCATCACCCAAATTGCCTGTGCACCCACCATCGACATCCTCGCTTGAAGACCCCCTGACCATTACTTCATCTCTATTACAAGATCCACCTTCCTTTGCCGCCACATCATCCCTTGAAGAACCCTCAACATTACCCTTACCCAGACCGTCAGCCTGCTCACTGGCTACGGCGTCGACAACAACTGGGGTCGTTGCTTTTGTGGATTTCTCACTATCTGCATGTTCACTAGTCGATAATTCCGTAACATTACTTGCCAAATCATTCTCATTCTTGCATTCATCCATTTAAAACAGTATTTGGGTCGTTTTCAAGATCCGAAAAGGAAGCCTTTTCACTATAAGAAACGAAAATTTTAAACAAAAATATTAAGAAAGTGATAAACCCTAGCCAAAAAATAGTCCACAATTCTGTCAAAAAAAATAGTAAATCAAGTGATGTACTTATTAGAAAAAAATATTAAAGAACAACAATTTAGATTGCTATGTTAATAAAAAGAGTGATTTTTTAAAGATTACGTGTTTACCTCGTTAGATCTTGTAAGAAGTGGAAGCCAGGGGATTGCGGGGTTTTTTCTTTTTTGAGTTTTTAGAGAGAGAAAGAGAGAAGATAAAGGCAGTGTTTGGGCATGAGAATAACCTAGGCGTCCTCTTAAGTGATCTGTAAACAAAGCCCGAATATAATGGGTTCCTGTCCTTTTTCACTTTCAGTGATTGGTCAGCACTATTAAGCAGGCTTTTTCCTCCGTTTTTTATCAATGAGTGTGAGAAACTTTGCTGGTGACCGATGGTTTGTGACGGCCCAATAATGTCTGAGCACGCGTGGTTAGGATTTAGTGAGAAGGTGGAGACCGGTGGGTTATTCCGTGGCTTTTGGTGATTTGATAGGGCTTCGGTAAATGTCGTAATCATTTTTTAATAAACTTTTCTCGGTCAAGGAATATTTTTATCACGTCTCTATCTCTTGGTAAGCTTGCACCATGTGATCCTGTGAGAGTCCACAACAGAAGACATCAACACCACCCTTGTCTAAGCTCTTTTACATTCACAGCACAATATCTTATTATACTTTTTATTTTTTTATTTTTTTATGGGATTATTCCACTTTTTTAAAAAAATAAAAATGGATGGGGGTTGCTTTGCAGTGAATTTACGAGCAGTAATGCAACGAGGTATATCTGGTAGAAAATTGACTTATTGTAGCCAATGGGGTCATCCCTCTTCAAAATTGTCCCCTAATCTAAAAGATTGCTGCCCGATTTACGCAGCAAAGGACAAGAGAGAATCCTTCTGGAAGTACTGGTTTCGTTCACGACCACCCCTTTCCGACACCACAAAAAACCGCACGCATAGCTGCGTGCTCGATTGATAAGTGGACTACTTAGGTTATTATACTTGACTCGGAGTCGCTGAGTCGACTTATTTAATCTCAAAATAGAAATTAAAACAGCGTTATTCTTTTAAAAAAAAAAAAACGATTGTTGACTGGGTCAACTTCTCTTAGTCCTGACCAGAGGCTGGGTCGACCCGACTGCCCGGACCGATTTCACCAACAACGATTCACAGTTCATGTCTACTCGGTTGGTTTCTGACATGAGCTGCACCTGCACGTGGCTGGTAGTTTTTCACCAGGAGTTCACTTAATTAACTGGGGTGATGGGGATTTTTTCAAGTCCTATCTAGATACCGGTGACGTAGATGTTTTTTTTCGGTGTTATAAAAGTAACTTTTTTAAAAAATAAATTTTTTTATTTTTTATTTATTTTAAATTAATATATTTTTTATGTTTTCAAATATTTTTAATATGCTGATATTAAAAATATTTTTAAAAAATAAAAAATTATTAATATATATTTTAATATAAAAATTATTTAAAAAATAATTACCATAGTATAATAATAAGTTTAAAAAGTATTTATTTTTCTGGCTGAATTTAGTGTTGTAAAAAATAATTACCATCATATAATAATAAGTTTAAAACGTATTTATTTTTCTGGCTGAATTTAGTGTTTTTTTAATTAAAAAATATTTTTTCAAAAGTACAGTAAAGTGCATCCTTGACCTTTTGGCTTTTGCACTGCAGCTTGCTGGTTCATGATTGACAATAAAAAAATATACGACAGAAACTAATAAAAGCTCTCTCTCTCTCTCTCTCTCGAAACTATTTTTTTTTTATTTCTTGTTTTTTAATAAAAAATACGAATTTGTATGTTTATTAAAAATGAAGATGACCTTTTTTATTTTTATCAAGATCACCATAATTTTTCATTAAAAAAAAATCAAATATCATAGTTTATGCTAGTTATCTTAACATTTTATATTTATGATATTAATTTTAATTTATTTAAAATAAAAGAATATAATAAAAAAATTACATTGTTAATTAGAAAGTTGACCCAGAAGATGTATTTATGTTTATGATTTTAGTTAGATATAAAAAATAATAACTTTAATGTTTTATGTTGCTAAAAAAATACTTGTATATAACAAAAAAAATATTTTTCATGTTTTTTATTTATTTGAAAAATAAGTAAAAACTTATAAAGCAAATTTATGATAACCTCCAAAATATACTTTCTAAACTCAACACAAAACTTAGAAAACTACAGAACTAGTTTTTTAATTTCGTTGAATTTGAACATGAACTCTCTAGCTCGAGTTTTCTATGAAATCATTTTTTTTATTTCAGATTTTCATAAAATTAAATTTGTTTGTAAATAGATCCAAGGCAACTGTTTCGCATTTATACTTAGAGGCTTGTTTGGTTCAGCAGTATAGAAGTCGAATAAAAGAATGAAACATTGATCGGAATTTGGAAGCTTTCGTCATGGTTCTTTTGAGGATAAACGCTGTCTTATAACTTAAAATAGAGAGCACAGCTTCCTCTGCTTTTAGAAAGGTTTTTAAAAAACATTTCACATGAACAATATTAAATTAATATTTTTAAAAAATATTTTTCAATCCTGTAAAATAATAAAAATAATTATTTAAATATATCTTCAAATAAAAACCAATTTATACCACGGTACCAATCACTTATTTAATCAAACTAAAATCAGCGTTCCTGACGTTGAGGCCATAAGCAGATCAACACGTTTAAAAGAGTGCTACGGGGATACGAAGATTCCCTCGGCCCACACGAGTCCTGGCCCATAGGTTAACAGATCCTGAGACCCAATGGATCTGGTCCGGGCCAGTGAATTACGATCACTTTACAGGTGATCTTGTATTATATTCTGAGCCCTCGCCGGCCTGGATACCAGATCCAAAAGACTCCGTCGAACCCACATTATCTCATCATTTCCCCCCCGAGAAACAACCGAGTGGATGGGCTCCAAGGTACATCCACTCGACGTCCCCGCATGGTTCAGGGTCTTTAGATCTCGTTTTCATTGCATTTTTCTTTTCCTTGCCAACGAAACATCTGGTTAGTTTGATCAAACTACTTCTCGAGGAAAACTCAAATCACCCCCTCAAATGCACGACCGAATGTGGCTAAATTGCAAAATTATTTACATTTAATGGAGTTTTGTTTTGCTTGATATTTTATTAAGAAATGTTTTTCTGTTTCTCGGTTTCCATTATTAGCGGCTCTCTTGTAAACAAGATCTTTTTAAATGAATACTTTTCTTAACTTCTTTTCATGCTCGCGAAATGAAATAAAAAGTTATCAAGCATAATTCTTTTTCATGATAATACATCGTTTTGCTGGAAGCTTTATTTCTCAAAGTAATATCTTTTTTAGGTACATCTGAGTCCACTACTGACCTCGGACAAACAATGAACTAATCTTGACATTTCATTCAACTTGTCGATCCCGAGATGTTCAATCTTCATTTGCTCCTAAAAAAGGCTTGTCAATGAAGGCTGTTGTGATTTTTGCTGCTGCGAAGAGAGTTGACGTTGTTGCTATATGAATTTGCTATTTTCTTGGAGTCTGTGTCTATGCTGCTGCATCTGCGCATGTTTTAATCGAAGGACCGTTGCTGTGTTGAACGAAGGCATGTTTTGCTGCTAAGTTTATATTATCCCTTTTCTTCCAAGCTCTCACACCAATTATTGAAAATACTAAACACTCAAAAGTATTCAACATTCCAAATTAAATCTTATTTATTATCGATATTTAACATGTACTTTTACACAATTCTGAATGCATGATTCTAATAAAGAAAAGCTAAAACTATCATATTTTACCAGCCTTGTAACTTAATATAACAGAGAAAGGTATCGGTTATCAAGGAAGGAAAGATTCAAAATAATAGTTAAATAAAGATTCTAAATAAAAAAAATTTTAATCAAGGATTCCTGTCTATACTAGAATTTCAAGTAATATCTTATATAATATATGCGAGTGAGGGTAGTTGATTGGAGCATGCTTCTTGTCATTAACCGAAGTGAGACTTGCCGACTTGACGAACTAAACTTTCACGTTTACATGTTATAACAGGAAACGTCCATTTGTGTCTTTGATGATGGACCATTATCCAAGTAATTTATTTCAAAATCATTTTGAATACAGATCTATTTTATATTTTTATTTTTTAAACTAAATATGTTTTTATATTTTCCATGTATATACTTATGTCTCAACATACCAGCAACCTAAAAGTATCAGAAATCATGATCGTTCCGCTTTTAAATATCCGCAAATGCTCAAATTAGCTCTCTTCTCCACTTAATGGATGGAGGGGAAGAGTAATTTATGCTTGTACTGTATTCATTCTTGGCATAATATACTGCATGCTTAAGCAATGTTATCGAAAAGTATATAATATATAGACGTCAAGCTAATAACCCAGTAGAGGGGGGCAAAAATTATTAGAAGATGCAGGCTTTTTAAGCAGAAAAGTTAATTGAAATCCATCAAAAGTAAACCATAAGATATGGGCAAACATACATGACGTAATTCAATTACAATTTTTTTTTTTGGTTCTAATAGTTCACACAGCTCAAGCTGAGATGTTAGATAGAGAAAGTGAATGAAAGAATCTTATCAAACACCTAAGAATCATAAATACTTTTTTCCTTGAGAAATAACAGTGGAAAGAAGAGCCATAGCAGATCTGATAATAATGTTGTTCTGCAGCAGCTACTCCCCTCTCCTTTTGTTATTGCCAACTGATCAGTGCCCCCTCTCTTATCCATCCCTTTTAAAGCTTTCACTTGCGCCGCCTGTACCTATTCCACAGCCAGGCAAACTGTCTCTGTAATATCAGTTTATATTTATCACCGACTTCCATTGAACACACACACACACATCTAGCGCCATTCAACAACACACACACACACACACATCTAGCGCCATTCAATCACAAAGTAAAGAGAGAAAATACTGGAAAAAATTAAAGGTATACTCAAGAAGATATTGCCTATAATATTGTCAGCATGGGGCATCAATATCAATCTACCAGCTAGCACTACTGCATGTTTGACTTCATAAATGAAAGGCTTGCTAGGCTGGTAAAGATGTACAGCACAATCATGAACCTTTAGTTCATTATTTACCCAAGCGGAATACTTTCACGTGTCTTTAACCTTTCTTCTGATTTAAAGATCATCTTCTCATGCCGATTTTTATATTCTGACACTAAATATATTTCTGTTAGTTTAATTGTGTTTTTAAAATTTTTTGAATAATTTTTTTAACTTTGAATTAATTTTTTAATGTTTGTTTTCACGTGATGGTACAAAAATAATTTTTTTAATATATTTTTAAGAAAAAATCGTTTTAAAAAATAAAAAAGCCTGAAATCCTTTTTTTGTTAACTTAGATATGAACCATTCCACGTTAGCAACATGGAAAAAAAATTATTTCTTGACATGGCTTCAAATAGAAATTAACCTATAATTTATTAGAAGTAGGAGTTCATCTAAATGAAAGGACAAGGTGGTAAGTAACTCAAGAAATTAATACAAGGCGGCGAGGGACAATGAATCAAACAAAACTTATAAATTCTACGCTACAAGCAATTTGTGTTATTGTAAACAGCAACTAGCATGCAGCAACCAAAGATTGGAAAGTATCCACTGACTTTGAGGGCGTTTTGATCTTCTGGGCACGTGAGTTTCTAACATGCCAGTTGTAAACGCACCCTGTTCAATCACAAAGGCACGTGGCACGATGATTCTTTTGTTCACCTTGACTAAGGTTGATCATGTTACCATGTGGAGCTAACCCAAGAGGCTATGAAATCATCGTGTACAGCTAACATGCATGGAAGAGTATGTACCTGCACTAGGAGGAGCAATTGACGGTGGTTTGGACATGATAGTGGGGACGGTTGTCATGGGACCCGCTGTTGTTGGTGGAAAGATGTGGGCAGCAGGAAGGCCCATAGCTTGTGATTGATGGAAGTGATAAAAAGGGTACATTGGCATCAATGTATTGGCACCCACCATAGCTTGCCCTGGATACACCTGAGAGAAATGCCCATTCATGTAGGACCCGCCTGTGTAGTTTAGCTTCTGTGGACCATCATAGCAACACATTGTCACGATCGACTCTCGAATATTTTTCTGTTAATTTTAGGGTAGATAGGATTGTTTAAAATTTGGGAATTTCAACCCAATTTCTTTTTTCATCGCTGAGAAATATGCCATTAATTGGCTGAATTTGTAGTTCATTATCAACATTGGGCTTTCATCAACTTGCATAATTATCCATAAATTACCATAACCACCACGCACACTGGAATGATCATGCGTTTGAATAACTATCCATCAATGATAATAGAGTTGTAGAAAAACTTACATGATTGCCGCTGATATCGGTGGCAATGTAAGCTGGAGAATACCTGAAAAAGGTAACTACAACATAAGAAACGTTCACATTTCATGTGGTAAAATTAAGAGCAATCAGGCCACAGAGTACCAGCTTACCCGTAAAAGGGAACGGCTTGGTGGTGCTGATGATGAAACGGCGATGCTGCTGCAGCTGACCCTGCCGGATAATACCACTGGACATGATTTTCCGGCGCTGCTGGCGTGGACCTCGGTCCAGCGTTAATGTTAGGTCCTTCATGATTAAATTTAATCACAAACATTAGCAAACTATATGATGCTAAAATTTATTGAAATCCTATCATATGTTAGAGATTTGTTTCTCGTTTTTTATGTAAACATTTTTTTTTCCTTTAAATAAAGGGTAAGGTTATACAAATAGGAAAATTATACAAGTTTTTTTTGGTAATATATAGTAAGTGATCATGCCATAAATGATCAGACGATCGTCAGATTTTTAATACACCAATTTTATCAAGCATTGATGCATGACTCCAAAAATTATTTGATTTTATTTCAAGAAAGCTGGTAGTTATATATATATATATAAAGAGAATCCACAATTCTTTTTTTCTCTCTCTTAATTTACATGCCCTGAAAAGAAAATAAATAAATATTCCTTTCTAAGAAACATATTAACGTAGACAAACATCCATGTTGAAAATACGTCCATAGACTTCAAAATATCCATACCTTGTTGAGGAGGGGCCGGCGTTGCAGACCTAGGGCGGCGTGCACCAAGGGAAGCCAGATTGCAGTTGGCACGGCGGCCATTGATGATGGGTGAAGCATCCTCACAAGCTTTCTTTGCCGATTCAGCCTCCTTAAACGTAACCTAATTATTTAAAACAATCACCAAAGCTAACATTAGCAAAACAGTAGCAACAATTAAAATGAAAACGTACTCGTCTAATATACAGTGAGATTAAGACTTACAAATCCATAGCCCTTGGATCTACCAGTGATTTTATCAGAAATAATCACAGCCTCCAAAATCTCACCATACTTTTCAAAATGTTCTCTCATGGCATCTTTTGGTGTTTCCCATGCTAATCCCCCAACAAACACCTTGGTCAGTGTGGTATCACCAAACTGCCCAGCAATATTGTTGCTCATTGTCATTCTTTTTCAGTAAATCCCTGCGCAAAAATTTAAATTTGACGCACAATAATCCAACCCAACTCGATTCAACTAAACCTTATATTTATTTATCACGAAGAAATGGGTGTTCTAGTGCTTACGGGGAGAGAAAAATGGGCACGTCAGGAAGGGTTTTCTGGAAGGGAGGAGAAGAGAGGGAGGGAAATATAAGGGGAGGAGGGAGGGGGAGAGTACAGGGTGCTCAAAGAATAAAAGAATAGAAGAAAAACAGGAGAGACAGAGAGGCAGACAGATGAGTTGGTGCTTGGGCTATCAGCAACGTGATCACACAGTCACACTAACATATTTGTCAATACTTAGCAGTGATGACATAATTCTTTTATCTGATGATCCTGAGCTTTTAATGTGTTCTGTTCTTCTTGGTAAGAAAAATGTAATGAAGCTACTCGCGCTTACTCGTACGCGCCTAAATCAATCAATGAAGCGTGATACGCCTCGCATCGTGGTTAGTTAGAATATGACATGAGCATCCTTCCAATTGCATGCCCTACCGCACGCGTCAACTCTGCGTTGAATACATATTTCCTTTTCCTATTATCTACAAAATCAAGGATATGTCCATGCATAACCTTTTCTTTTGTTTAAAAAGGCAGGGTGCTCTCGGCTAGTTTTTGGGCACCAATTAAGTTACTGTAATCATCCATAACCAGATTTTATAATGCACGTAACTAAATACTTTTCTATATTAATTTTATTTACTCGTCTGTTTTTAGCTTAGCTTTTTTTTTTTTCTCAATACGACTTTTTTTAAAATAAAATTCCTTAATGCAACATTAAAGTCAGACACCAAACATGGTAGCTTTTCTCGTACCTGTAATAATTAATCTCATTTGCACCATGTGTGGAATGCGATAAATATAACTTTTTTTTTGTTTAATCCCTTATTTAGAATTTTTATTTTATATAGTCTTTTTTGTGAGGCAACTTTAGCTTTCCTGTCTTATTATTAACATATATAGTCTTTTTTGTGAGGCAATTTTAGCTTTCCTGTCTTATTATTAACATATAATCTCTCTTTTGTTGGTAATGAACAAACAAGTACTCGTGATTTTTAAATCCTTGATTAGTATTTCATTGGAGATAATATATGATCTATCTCTAATTCATATAATTGATTAGGAAAAGGAAATGTAAAAGGTAAAAAAAAATTAGAAGAGAAGCCTAAATTCCTAATAGGATAGAGCGTGGTTTCACGCGCATATAAGACGGTTAAAGTAGAAAAATAGAAAACAAAGAAGACAGCTAAACGCCGTACATTGACGGAGGGAGAGGGTCCGACAGATTTAACGAACGCGTCGTGCCGACATAAGATTTGCAAGTCTGAATTTGAAGGCCGGTCGTTAGGGGCAATAATTATCAGTTACTCGACTCCGCAACTTGCTGTCGTTTCCAAAATAACCATCATGCCCTGCCATGTTCGGTAAAACTAGAATTAACTCTCGAGGTAAAAAGGAAACATGCAAATATCACATTCTGCATGACTCATGGTTTCCAAACGCGACTACACGTGTGCGTGGGCTGAAGTGTCAGTGACTAGGCACTCCATGGCTGGGAAGCACGAGCAGCGAGAAGTACCAAAACCAGCAGAGGAGTAACCCTCTACTGATCAATTAACAAAAACCAAATCACGCAGGAAATGCTGTCGTATTTTCTGCTACTCATCATCTCATTCTTTATTCCGAATGGTAATACTGAATTTTATTTTTTTTTAATTTTGTAATTTGATCTGTAACTTTTTTTTTGTATTATTGAGTCACGGGATCAATACTCAGTTACATTTTTTTTTCAAAGACATCTTGTACTAAAAAAAGGACCTAAGCAAGTAAAACAGTTCAAATAGATAGTGATTTTAAATTTTATATTAAAAATTTATTTAAGCCCTCCATATTTTTTAATTATTAGGTCATCAGTCCATATAATTTTTTTAAAAATAATTTTGATATTAAAATTCATTTCTTGTATTTTTTAGTTAAATAAAAAAGAAAATCATTGGATTCTAATATAAAGATAAAAAGTCATTGACAATGATAAAACGAAATATAACTTCTTTAAGAAAAGATGGATTATGCCCAGGCATGCAGATTGAGCTGGAAGGCTAGCGCTCTTCAGTTGTTTTCTTTAATGTCCATGCTCAAACAAATGTGATTTTGTTTTTTTGTTTTTTTTTTTATATTTAGTTTAAAATCTTTTTATAAAAAAATAATAAATTCAATTGGATCCATTGATTAAGTTACATATTTAATAGGTTAATCTACAATGTCTCGAGACTCTGGACTCTTATTTGTTATTTTATGTCTTATTTGTTCCTCAATGTTTTTTAAAAAATATAATTTCATCTTTTATTATTGATAATTATTTCCAATTGGATCCATTAGTTAAGTTACGTATTTAATAGGTTAATCTACAATGCCATTTTCACTTTTTTTTTTTATTTAAGTTGAACCTATCATGATTTTATTACTTTTTTAAAAATATGTTTCATATAAAAAATTATAATGCAGCTTATTAATGTGTAATTAAATGAAAAATAATATCCTGAATAAAATTATGATGCATGATTTTTTAAAATATTTTTTCACTTGAAGAGATATTAAAATAATTTTTTCTCATATTTTTTTTCATCAAAACCATAAAAAAATAAAAAAAACCAATTTAATATTGCTTTTTCAAATAAAAAACATTTTTAAAAAAACACCCATAAATAGAACACCCGTTGAAATTGCCCCCTCCACTCTATCAACACCCAATTTAATACTGCTTTTTCAAATAAAAAATATTTAAAAAAAAACCCATAAATAGAACACCCATTGAAATTGCCCCCTCCACTCTATCAACACAAAATATGTTCCAGCTTGTAGCTAATTAAGTGGTATATCCAGGTCCTTTTTGGATATATTTCAAATTCAAATCTTTTATTGAAAAATAATTCTTGCAATTAGTAATATAATGGGGCAATGATAAATGTTTAACTTAATAGAACATGAGTTACCAAAGAAAATACTTTTTAAAAAAAAATTATAAAACATGTGTAAATAAAGTCTAATCATACATATAACAGGATTATTGTGTTGTTCATACTCGTATATGCACATTTATATATACTAACCCCATCATATCGATATTAATTTAAAGTTTAAAAAGCCTGTAAATAAAACTAAGATCTATTATATTTTTTTTCAGTGTCGACGTTCGAATTTAATACTTACAAGTGAATTATGCACCCCTTCCCTTATTGCATAAACCACCTCGAAAAATGGCTACAAGAGCGTGTGTGTGTGTTTGTGTGTGTATTTGAGACGTGGAAAATTAAGCACGGATTCTCAATCAACTAAATCCACACCACGATCTTTCATTTCATCCACAAATCATATCTGATTCTTGTGTCTGGGACGGTGTGATCGATAATTAGTAATTTCATTGTGCTAATATACATCTTATATATTACGCCCCACTTGGACGTGTATATGCAATTTGTGCATGCATTTCTCTTCCTATTTATATATAAATTTCTTGTTCCTTCAGAAGAGGTGAAGAGCGTACCGATAATTAAATAGGAGCACTAGCAGAGATAAACTTTATAGGGTGCAGCTAGATGCATGAACTAATAAGATGCAATCACGTGACAGCCATGTAGTTATATTATTTTTATAGCATTGCAGATTTTGTTTGTGGATTACATATGGATGGATTCAGGGTCTAGAAAACGTTAGTCAATACCCTAATGAATCCTCATTTTTCTCCCTGCTCAAGCAATATTGACCGGCTTCCGCTTGATTTGCTGGGTTCATGATGATCATGAGGTCCCACGGCAAATGCCTTTGATGGAGAGGAGGTTGTGCTGAAGTGTTTGGCATGTTGTTGTCATTTGTCAATCGCCTGGTGAATCTAGGAAGAATGGGGGGGATTGGATGCACGTAGCAACCTACCTAGGTGGAAAATTTAACTCGCTAGTTACATGGTCGAGCACCTTGTCTTTCTTCCCCGCGTACGTGATCAACGGGTGGTTTCTATGAAAAGTTATGCCGCTGATTGAGGGGTTTTAATTTCTTTTTCCCCTTGGAAGATTTTGTTTAAAAATGGTTGATGTGTATAACATTTAAGATTAAATTAATATTAGAGTCCACTTATTTTTCGTTTTTTTTTAAATATAAAAACTTGTTTACTGGGCTAAATCTTAATTTAGATTTAATCTTTAATATAAATTCTATAACGTGAAATATTAATATAATTTTAATGAATTTAATATGGATAAAAAATTATTTTAGAAAAATCCATAACCCTCAATGTTCCATATGCGTGCTCTTACATGTTTGGCTTTATTTACAAGCTAATTATAAACTCAATATATATATTTTCTAGTTTGGTCCAACTACCAAACATATAATATAATCCAAACTACCAAACATTACTCAAGCCTGTTGTAGCTGGGTCCACAACAGCAAGGGCAGTTTCTCTAGGTTTTCCACGAACCATACACAGAACTGAAAGCGAGGGCTTGTAAATGAATGGATTCAAAGGTTTTGGTGAGGTGAACCAGAGAGTAGGATAAATGAAACCATGCCATAACAGGGAGCAATGAAGCCATTTCATTAGCTGTCATATCTGTTGTCGTCTTCATTAACCGGGGGTGCCTGAGGGCAGAGGGAGGGTTTTTCAAATAGTTTTTCTTTTTTTAAAAAATAATTGAAACAATAATTTTTTTTACTCAACTGTTTCTACTTCTGTTGAAAATTTTGATGACAACTACCAAATTAATGAGTTTTGTATGATGAGTGATTAAAGATTTCTTTTATGATCCATAGTTTTTTTTTAAAACATTGTAGTAATTCCATTTTGACACCCTTGTAAAATCCTTAATTAATTCAAATAACTGTCTTCACATAAAATAATATAATTTATATTTTTTTAATATATTATCTCATGTAAAAAAAATTTCCACTTAAAATTGAACATGTTCTTGTAATTGTATCAAATAAAAAAAAAGATTCGAAATCATTAATTCTAAATTAATAAGATTTTCATACTATATTAAATAACTATTTCAATAAAAAAAATTTAAACTTTTAAATGAAAATCTAGAATCTAATTTACTGTAATTTCTGATATAGATAATCGTAATCACATCAGGGATTTGAAAATTGCTAAGTACCTTCTGTTGTTTATATCTATTGAACTGATCAATTTTATTTTCCTACTTGTTTGTGTATATACTAATAATAATAATTATAATAATATAAAGCAACACAAGTAGTTGTACAATGAATTAATTAATCCGA